ATTTATATACACAGCATCACTTAGTCACAATATGGCACAAGAAAGTATATTTTGCATTTTCAAATACTTTATAGGCGGTAGGCCAAGCAGCGCGTGCTTTTCGTTGTGGACGCGTTTAAACCAGAATTATTTCCGGAAAAGTCCCATTCGAATCTTCGCAAGACAGCAATTGAATTTTCTACGATTTTAGCAAATCTTTTATAGCTCAAACCGTTCGGCAGCATTCGAATAAACAAACTGATAGCCGGTTTATTTTTGTATTACACTTAAAAAGCTCAAGTTAGTAGGAGTAGTAGTAGCTAGTGAGCAATAGCCGGTTGAATGCAAAATGTGCAATTAAGAGTGTGAGAAAAGCTGTGCGTGTGTATGTGTATTAAGGAACGTGTTTGAAAAATACAAGTATTACAGATTTAACATCCTACACGATTTAGTCAGATATCAAAGCAATTTCTACGATTATATTGTCAGCAGATGGCGCACAGTTCGTGCTTGAGAAGGAGTCAATTCACATTTTGTACTACTGATCCTAAATTATTTCAATTATATATCAGTAATTGACAAAGGACATTTTTGAAATGAAAATATTTGAAATCAATAATAACAGTATCAAAWATTTTTCCAACATTTTTGGTTTTTGTCGCAATTGGGCTTGGATCCTCGCTATGTCATATTCACCTTAGCGTCGAGCTATAGGTAACTTCACTTCAGTTATCATTTTTATGCTTCTAACATTTTATATTATTTCGATTGCGCCGTTTAAACTTAAATATATTTATCCAATTTACTGATAATATTCTTTATTTATAAGGAACTTGGAATTGCAGGTGACATTTCCTCTTACAGATTCAAAATATTGTCTTAAAATTATAGGTTTTGATTTGAATCAATGATCCTTTGAAGAGTTATCACTTAACGGTTTGGGTGATGAAGGCTGACATAAATGTTGAAAAAAAAGAAGATAGGGTAATATTGGAAGTTGCACCACGAAAACTCCCAGATGTGACCCGCCGGACTGATTTTTCTTACCTTGCCTTAAACGGTTTAATTTCAGAAATATACATACATACATACCTGCACATTCAAATATGCGAAAGTTAGTGAATGATAACTTAATAAACATGAAGCAAGTAATGGCATGTACTTTACTTAAATCCTCATTTAATTTTCATTATTTAAATGACTCTTCGAATTTGCATAACCACCAACGCAGAATATTAGACACAAATACTGCCCCTTCACGCTATATCATATACTATATGTATGAATTAACAAGTAAAAATATTACCTAAAGTTTATGTTTTATTCAAAATATTCAAATTTCCCGCTGTATTCATATTTGGGAGCGTATAAGTGCTCAACAGAGAGAGCAGCGTTTGTAWGTACGTAAATGAGTACGCCGTAAACAGAAGACTGAGGAAGCGAACTTACACTGCTAAATCATGCGAGTATTTTCAAAAGTGATCGCCGTAATTACAGTTATTAATATTCACATTATTCATTAATATCTATGAATATTTTATTCATATTTCCGTGCCATTAAGAATTTAAACAATTTTGTTTTCCAAATAACGAATATATATAGGCTTGCGTGTTGCTAAGTAAAATTACGTGAATGTGCCAACATTGATCTAATTATACCCTGAACAGGGTATATTAAGTTTGTCACGAAGTTTGTAACACCCAGAAGGAAGCGTCTTATACCCTACAAAGTATATATATAAATGATCAGTATGTTGAACTGAGTCGACCTACCCATGTCCGTCCCTCCGTCCGTCCGTCTGTATATATACGAACTGGTCCCTCAGTTTGTAAGATGTCGTTTTGAAATTTTGTAAACGTTATTTTCTCTTCAAGAAGTTGCTCCGGCCACTATAACATATAGCTGCCATACAAACTGAACGATCGGAATCAAGTTCTGGTATGGAAAACTTTTGCATTTGACAAGATATATTCACGAAATTTGGTATAAGTTATTGTTCATTGAAATAATGTAATATTGGCAGAAATTGTTCAGATCGGCTCACTATAGCATATAGTTCCCATGCAAATCGGATGGTCGGAATCGAGTTCTTGTATGGAAAAGTTTAACATTTGACGTGGTATCTTCACGAAATTTGACATGGAATACTGCTTAAGGTAATAACATAATCTCCGACAAAATTGTTCAGATCGGATTACTATATCTACAGCATAGTGGACATATAGTTACTAAAAGAAATGCACCTGTGAACGGTATATTAGCTTCGGTGCAGCCGAAGTTAACGCTTTTTCTTGTTTTATATGAAATTCACCTTTCTAGGCGTTTCTGTAGAAAGTTGTAATAGCACATATACTTATATTAGCACACATGCATATTACTTACATAGTACAAACACACCTGCATATTCAAGCATTTTCGCTAAAATATGACAAATCGAAATTCTTTGACAAAATCAGACATTTAAAATTCTTCGAACATTACACAGGATAGGCATTTGAACTTCAACTTGTATTTAAGACGCATACTTAAGTGTTTAGTGATTTTATTAGTTTATTTGTGAGAATTACGCCTTCATATCTACAAAACAATACTTGTTAGTTTTCCCACTATTTTATTGTTATTTTAATGTTTATTCTCGTTCTTATTGAACCATATATATTTAGAAATATTATTGTGCATGTTTACATGCCCGATACATGTGCCAGTAATTACAGATAATTTGTGTGAACTTTGTCTAATGCATACTGCTTTAGTTTTTGAACTAACGCAATTTTTATTAGGCTAGGGTAGTTTTCTTTCCGAAGGCAGATAGGAACAACTCAACCTACCCAAGAAAGTTTATGTCTATAAACTTAACTTCCCTCTATTCTGAACAATATCCAGTCAATCAGAAGCCTTCAAAGCTCTCGATGGGTAAAAGCAGCATGGAACGACACTAAAATTACCAAAGAAGTTTGTAAAAGTACTCCGCAAGGTGGAATGCTATCTCCGTTCCTATGGACATTACTGGTGAATAACTTGCTAAATGCAGAATGCAGAGCATTAGCAGTATTATGACCAACACTCTCAAGACAGTCCGGAATTGGGCATCGCAAGCGGGTTTGCGACTCGCAGTTTTAGGTCTAGCGTCCTTGTTATTATGATTCTTTCATATCATTTCTTAAGATATATTGTTAATAGTCTAAATCTACTTTTTTTCACTATACGATATCTACATTAAATTTAACCAAACTCAAAGGAACATTGCTCTGTGTCATGGTCCAAACTTTTTCACCACGAATATGTGAGTCATACATATTATATATGCACGTAGTTTTTAGTTTTTTTATTTAACACTTCGAATTCAAAATTTTAATTTGTGGAGCGTAAAAAGCATGAGAAATCCCGAAGTGGCACACAAATAGCTCTTATTTGTTTGCGCGCTCAGAAGGCTAAAGCTGCATTCAAATTGGGCAAAGTGAAGATAGTGTGTCCTATCTGTCGTCTCCGAGAATATTCACCCATTACCCGATATTTTAGGTGTTTCCAACTGGGTCATATGATACACAAATGTGTTAGTCAGACATACCGGTCCTGCAGAGCACGTAGCAAAGGTGTACAAAAATGCCCTGAGCTGTATGCTTTGCAAACGAGAGCACTCCGTCTTAAGTATTACCATACACACACATATACAGTAGCGGACAAAAAAAAAAACGGGACACTTAGTTATAGTGACTTTAAATCGATGTAGTGTTAACAAATCAAACTTTATTATATAAGTAAGAATTTTTTTTATCAAGTACATTATTCAGCTAGAATAAAACGCTTTTATTTATATTCCTGAGTATACACATGGCTGCAAATAAAATGAAATGTGGAAAAAGGCCAAAACTGACTCAAGTTGATAAAACAATCTTGGCTTTGCGATCGCAAATTTTGAGTATACATGAAATTAGTGGTAAAATAAATTTTAGCAAAACTACTGTCGGTGCTTTCCTTAAAAAATATGTGAAGACTAAGTCATTAAAACGCAAAGCGGCTTCCGGACGCCCGAAGAAGACTACTACCAAGGATGAACACCATATAAAGCGGATTAGTATTGAGAACAGATTTAAAACAGCTGAAGATATCAGAAGCGAAATTCAGGAATTAAATGGAACCGAAATGAGTACGCGAACACTACGACAGCGCCTCCAAGAAGCTGGCCAGGATGATTCTGCGCCAAGACATCGAGGCAAATCGGTAAGTAAAATTTTTTTATAGTAAATAACCTAATATTTAATTTTTACAAAGGCATGGTTAATACGCATTTTAATTTTTTTCAGATAAAAAATTATTTAGTAGAATTAGTTGTTTTATCACTGGACCAGTCTGGCAACAGTCCTGATATAAACCCCATAGAAAATTTTGGCACATCATGAAAGCGCAGATAACAAAGAAAAGATCAAGAACTTTGTCAGAACTTGACCGAATAATTGAAGACATTTGGTATAACGGTATACCGGCACAAATTTTACAGTTGTTCGTTGACTCCATGCCCGAACGAATAAAAACCGTGATAGAAAACAAAGGAGGCGCTACGAAATATTAACTCAAGACATTTTGATGTTATTATTATTACTAATTAAAAAAAATTGAGTTTTTATTGTATCGCGTTTAGTTTTAAGAACATTTTTTATAAGTATCATAGTAAAAATTGAAATATCGGAAATATTTTATTTTTTCAAATATTTTTTTTGGTCTAAGTAATTTATTTTTGTTTCGAATACTTATATAATCCAAGTTTCTTTGTTTATATAAGTCCACATTTTTAAATAAAATCAAATAATCACACATTTCTAAGGTGTCATCTTTTTTTTTGTCCGCTACTGTAAGTTAAGCTAATCTAACCAACTCGCACATTTGCACTTGATATTAAATTCAAGTTCAAGCCGCACACCAGCAAATTGTATAATTACTGTTATTCATTGACAGTTTATATACATAGATATTCACACTTTTAACTAATACACGCACAAAAATGACATGAGTATTGATTTGATACCAAATAATATAAATTGTAGGTGTGCCCATAATAGCACGTGCCTTGGCTCTTAGGTTACGATATTTCGTAGATTTACCAAACATGTATACAATAAATTACTAAAATTGAGGAACTACTACTATGAGCAAAAAATAATTAGACATTTTTCATAATTTGAAAATTTGTTAATTTATTCTTTAAAATCTATGTCGTTCCCTCAAAACTCACTAAGTGGCAATGCATACTGTCGACTGCTTTTTACATTCGAGCTCATACGTATGAATTCACGATTCATCACCAGTCACAGACAAAAATATTGATATGCAACTGCCGTCTTACAAATGTTCATGTCGCCGGCTTCACGACACCCTTTGCTGTTCACTGATTTTAAAAATCATAAATTACGGACGCTAATTTAAATTTTTTTATGAAAAATATGTATTATTTAATATTTATTAATTCTAACTAAACTAAAGAAAACATAACTAAAACTAAGTGTGCAGTTGCGATAAAAAAGGAAATACTTTCCTGAAGTATAGATACATATGTGTTGACTCCATAATATTGTGGCCGTAGGGGTCGACCCCTACCTATTAGTAGGAAAAGTTTATTTTATCAAGACGCGGACTCGAACTCGGGACTTACCGACTGGTAGTTTTATAAATAATGCTTCATAACTTTTATACTTCATAAAATATTTCCTCAATCACGAAACTACTTGCCTAATTTATGTTAACCATTACTTAAGCTAATGGCCCATCACACGCCATGTTGGTGGACGACATATCAAATCAACAAATCGCCTAATGCGCCACATACTTAAAATTAAAACTAACTGCAAAGGAATTGTTCTTCGWCTGGGCAGGTCAAGTGTCCGCTAGACGCTCTAATATCCAGTCTATATAGCTTTGCGTGTTCGTGTAAACGCCCGGTACACCAATGCGTCCACAACCAATGCCATACGAAACTACACCGAGTGCATAGAAGCGTGTTACACCTTTATATGGCTACAAAAAAAATTAAAATATTGCTTCAGATTTAGTATTAAAAATATTATTGCACACCTCTGCCACCATTAGCGGTCCACCGGAATCACCGCCACACGTATCACGTCCGCCACCCAAATCTCCGGCACACACTACCGTTTGGTCGAACTGCTGATTGGAGTAAAGCCTATTGTTAGCCTGATAGGATTGTCGGCATACAGAATTSTCCATAACTTCGATTTGAAGTTCTTGCAAAATGTTTGATGAGCGTCCACCTTCCATCAAACGTCCCCAACCAGCCACGAACGGATGATAACCCACATATGATTTACTTCGTAGTTGCGCCGAAGCGGGCAGACATATGGGGCATATGTAATCTGAGGAAAGAAGAAATTTAACATTCGTTTAAGAATGGTCGTTAAGAGGATTATTCATATCTCGCCTGTGAAATCTACATTTTTCTCCAAATATAAGATTGCTATGTCGTAGCGTCGATCATGGCCACCGAAATCAGGATGTCGTACTGACTGTTGAATTGAAAAGAAAGTAAAGGAGTAAGTAATAATAGTTATGCGTTATGAAAGCATAATATATATAAAGTTCAAAGGAAGCGACAAAGGCTAATCTGAATTTTGTCTTTATTCCGGTGTCCAATTTTTTTGTGAAATGCTGTCAAAGTAACACTCAGTAGTCGGAAATAACTCTGTATCCACAATGGTTAAGCTGTATATTTTTGATAAGATTTTAACGGCTTTATAATATTCTAAATCCAATATCTCAATATATACTTTAATTAATACTCACCTTAACGACGTCAATGTCCACGTGCTTCGTTTCCGTTTCAGTGCTCAAATCGTATTCGCCTAAACGTACAAACGATCTGAAATTATGAAGATTTTTCTATGATTTCTCAGTAACGACATCGTGCTCGTGCCACTTACAAATCTCTTAAAATACAATGAGCTGCAGTCAACACGTGTCGCGCTGTTATCAAGGAACCACCACAACGAAATGGTGACAAACTATAACGGTCATACCCGACCAAGGCCATCCAYGGCCAAGCACCTATACTGCTATCGCCACCGCCCACCACTTTCAGCGACGATAGCGATGTGATTCCACAGCCTTCATCTTCCGTCGGCAAATGCCAAGACACGTCATTGGAACGCGTAATTGCTTTGCGCTGCTCTAACGGACAGCAAACATTCGTGCCGATGCTGTAACAGATCGCATTGGAGAGCTCTAATTGTTTACGGAACTCGGTGTCGGTGGGATTTTGTTTCGCGCGTTCTAGCAAAGCGTCGCAGTTTTGTAAAGCTAAAATCACGAAGAGAGAGAAAAACATTATGAACAATAGTTTATACTTATGAATAGCGTGTAGAGAGGCAAATATAGCCAAAGAAAAGATAGAGGGAGTGGGAAGGCAATAAATCAAAACACGCAAGCAGCGGCTCAGAAAATGCACTCACGCTTGCAGCTGCCCTGACTGCCGTCGTGTGGAACGCGGCAGGTTTCCGGTGGTGAGTTGACGCCATCCGACGCGGAACGATCATCGCCGTTAGTTTCTGGCGATACTGTGGATGTTGTTGTTGTTGTAGCTCTTTGTGTTGTCACATTTGCTGACGTGGACACGGGCGTAGTGGGAACAATTTGATTATCGCTCTGATTTGCGTCTTCGAAGGTCGGGCGAGTGCAGCAGAGCTATATAGCAAAAATACAATTATATATTATATTTTGCATAAGTGCAGTGAGATCAGTCATGTTAGAGCTTACGATCGGATAATTGTCAGGGGTTAGGCGATTATAGCAGATATTGCGCAGAGCCTTCGAGTACCTTGTCGCTTGGTTCATATTTAGTTGTTGATAGAGTGTCAATACCTCCTGGCAGTATTTCAACGAGACACACATACCCCAATCGCCGAGTGGGGTGCGACAAGCATTATTTGATGGTACTGAAAAGAACGTAAGTACATGCATGAAACGATATTATTTCTTTATAATTACAAAAAACTAGACAAATATAATGAATRCCAACCTTCATACGACATCCAACGATGCGCCGTTATTTCACAGATAAATACGGTAAGCAGCAACGCAATTGCACATTTTGTGGTCCACATTTTTTKTATATTAATTTTACTTCCCCTTTTGCGCTTTAATTGCTTATAATAAACGATTATTAAACCGTAACTGTGCTGAGTACTAAACTTGCGGAAAACTGACACTATACTAAGCCTTGATTATAGTTTTCACTAGACCTAATCATGCAATGCCATACTCGATGTGCTCAACTATATGTTGGTAAATGTGACAAAAAGTGTTCATTATTTGTTGATTACTRAAAAACCCATAAGTTTGGACTTTACCGAATTGCATTTCTCTCATCGCATCTTCACGAACTCAACCAAACTAATACGAGTACAAAAAATACAGCAAAAACAATGTCAGCATTTCTATTAATATATAGATGCAATTCTAGCATTTTGAACAAGCTTGCACGCTTTAGTTGTTAGCTACACGCTAGGCTGCAACATAAAGTCATGAGTATGCCGCTCTAACTTAGTAAACCATCTGCCTCAAGGTCTTATAAATACGCGAAAATGTTAGTACTTTGTTTATTAGAATAATGAGGATATCTGAGATAAGTTAAAACTCGTGCTTTGGCAAAAAAGAGCAAACGTCCATAGATATTCGGTTACGAAAACGCTTATCATAGAAAACTCTCAGATCATCAGAGCGCCAATAGAAGAAGACACATGGCTGACGTATCTAGCATAGATGTGTGCCTTTATGCGCGATATAGCCGTAACGTGGTTTGTGGTTTTACCCCACAAAAGAGTCAAGAGGAATTTACCAGCGATCTGTTGAAGAATAAATAGRAATTCAACCAAGTCGATCACCATTTGAAAAGAGTTTTTAATTATTAACGGATAAGATCGAATAATTTCGGCAGAAAGATTTCAAGCACTTAAGTCTTCCACAAAAATA